GAGGCGGTGGTCGCTCAGCATAACCCCAACCCATTGCCCATTGAGATGGATATACCTCAGGAACATGTCATCAGTGATCTCCCAGTTCTTAGTAGAGCCAGAGCTTCACTGCCCGCTGAATATCTATACATCGAAGAGCCGGACAATTCTGCCACCGTTTTCGGTGTGTTCGCCAAAAAGACAATACCGAAGAGGACTCAATTCGGTCCCGTCGAGGGTGTCATTGTTGGACACAATCACTCCAATGTTCACAACTTAAACCACAACCTAATGATCTTCATAACAGAGGATTTGATTTTAGATCAAAGTGATGAAAATCAGTCAAATTGGATGAAATTTGTTCGTTCGGCCAATACTTATGAGGAACAGAATCTGTCGCTAATCGCTAAGGAAAATGTGTCGGCAAATGAAATCGAAATCAAATTTTTTTTCTTAACCACAAGAGCTATATATGCGAGAGAAGAGCTTAAAGTGTGGTATTCTCGAGAATACGCCGACAAATACAATCTGAAAGCCTTAGAGGGACCGCTCATTATAGCCGATACCGACGAACAAAGCGTCGCCGAAGCTATCGTACAGAAAAGCACTCCAAACCCGATCGATATCCTGACCACCGGTGGACACAAACTTAGAAACAAAATCGCCAAAACACTACAACAGCAACAACTTCAACAACAACAGCAACAAACGCAAGACACACAACAAAGCAGTAGTCAGACCGATGCTAACGGGTCTTCTGGTCAGCCGAAGGACACTACAACTCCTCCCAAATACCAGTGCGAGACGTGTCAGAAGATATTTCCCCGGTTTTATAGCTTACGAAGGCATCAGATCATGCATTCAGGAGAAAAGAAATATAAGTGTCCCGTCTGTGGTATGTCTTTCAGTCACGTGTATAACCGGAACCGTCACGCGAAGAAACACCAGAAAGCGGTCACCAATAAAAAGTCTGCTTTAAGTTTAACCGAAACTAATGATCAAAATCAGAGCCTTAAGACAGAACCCGTGGCAAAGAAGAGCAACACCTATACAAATGATGGTCAGATGAAACCGTCAGCGAGTCTGACTGTGGCCCGAAAGAGTGCTCCTAAGAGTACAAATAACCCGAACAAACCATATCGTTGTCACCAGTGCTATAAGTGCTTCTCCACTGACGACCGATTGATAAGACATGCGATCGTCCACTCGAGTGATGAAGAAGTAAAGCCATTGGCCTGTGCTATCTGTCAGAAGAGATTTCTCAACAATTCTGCCCTTTCGTGTCACTTGAAAATCCACAGGTAATCAATCGATTGCTATTTTATGTTAATTTGTGACTTACTTTCTAATTGCTGTATATTTAGTACACCGAGAGATCAGCCGCGAAGATATGATTGTGTTATATGTAAGCAATGGTTTGATTCGCCACAACTCAGGAAAGACCATGTCGTAAACCACATCAATCCAAACACTGGACAGTTTAATTGTCCCAATTGTCAAAAAGTATATCTTTATTTCAAACTAAATTGAAAGTCAAAGCATTTTTAAATTATTGGTTCTTTTATTAGGGATTTGACGAGTTCTCAGCCGTTAGAAAACATATCCGAGCTTTTCATTCAGACAAACAATACCCGTGCACTCAATGCGAGAAAGTAAGTCTATAACAAGTGTTAGGTTCCCGAATGTGTGCTAATACTGTTTTTGTCTACGAATCAGGTCTTTCCACGACCTGACAAATTGAAGTTACATATGTTAAGACACAGCGATCACCGCGAGTTCCTGTGTGCCAATTGTGGCAAACAATTCAAACGTAAAGACAAACTCAAAGAACACATGCAGAGAATGCATGCGCCCGACAGAGAGGCCAAACTCGCCGGTATGTTATCGAGTGATTCACTCTTGGCTTATAACTGCTTTTTATAATGAATTGAATATTTGCCAAAACAGCAAAACAAGCGGCAAAACAGGCCCAACAGTTGAGTCAACAGCACAAGAAGTTTATACCAAAAGTATCGCCAACTGATTACCACAGATTTATATATAAATGTCACACATGTTTGCTCGGTATATAGCTTTATAACAGCGTATGATATATTTGGTTTAGTAAACGCTTTTGTTCACTGCATACAGGGTTTAAGCGCCGGGGAATGCTTGTCAACCATTTGGCTAAAAGACATCCAGATATACCACCCGATACCGTACCGGAGCTCAATCTACCCATACTTAAGGTAATTAAATTGACAAATATTTTGTTGTCAAAACTTAATCGTTGTTTAATATTCAGACAACACGTGATTATTACTGTCAATATTGTGACAAAGTATATAAATCGAGTTCCAAAAGGAAAGCTCACATAATGAAGAACCATCCGGGTTTGTACTCTAATATACCATGTTATAAACTAAAATGTTAACAACTATTACCGGTATTAATATATTAAACATTGAAAACATTAGGAAAATCGCTGCCACTGTCTAACCGACATAAGGGAGGTATACCAGTGATACCGGGGATCCCAAACCCCACGTACAGCGCAACTGTAGGCAGTATAACAACTCACCCGCACTACTGTGACTGGTGTCACAAACAGTACGCCAGTAAAGCCAAACTACTTCAACACCAGCGCAAGAAACATCCGGAACAGATGGCTATCATCAACACCAACGCCCGCTCACGACAGCGCTCTCTCGCCATGACGTCGACGCCTATAATGAGCCAAACGATGCCATCGCAGGCCATAACCCAAACGCCGAACATAATGTCCAGCCATAGCCCCAACCAATCGACGGTCTCAATGGGAGCCAACAATAATCTGATTACAATATTAGGAAATCTCAATAGCATTATATCGGCCACAATGGGCAACGATTTGTCCCAATCAAACACATCTTCAGCCGACCTTCAGGAACTACTTCAGGGCAGCTCTGGTGACCTCTTGACCCAAGCCATGTCCGAATTGACGGCAACTAAGGGCGACGGCAACGCCACTATCATCATCACCGCTCATCCCTCAGACGATGACCACTGGAGTCAAGTCTGCGAAGAGATGGCCTAAGTTTAACACCTATTCGCACACAACCCAACACTCAGGTGTACTTATAGTGTATCCACTGTTCAACTGTACATTAATTATATATTTTATACAATCATTTGCAACTTAATTCAGGCAAATATTAATATAAATCTATTGATCTCGTGATAAATTTAGTTTGAAAGCCGCCGTTAGTGTAAAAAACAATATAACCGCCAAAATTAAACCATAATTTAAACATATTTTTACTGTAAATCTAATGTAAACTACACTTCAATGAGAAACTACTTTGTTTTTTATTTACAATGAAATACCGAATCATGAAAATTGATTTCAATGTAAAATCTATAGACAAATAAATGTCGTTTAAGTTATTATTATAATTATTATTATTGAGATGTATTTGATTGTTGAGACATTTGAATGAGTTGTTGAGAGGCCGTGGGTTTGTCGTACAAATAGGCGCCGCTCTCGGCGTCCGGGAATTGGTAGACATTAAGACGAGTGTCGCGGTTGAGGAATGGATGCCACGGGCCCTGAACTGAGGGCAACATCACATTCACGGGACTCATCAGTTGCGACAACTCATAGCCAGACCTATCCCTCAAGAAGTCGAGCCACCACTCGAGCTCAACGGGTGTGAACTTTCTGACGCCCATCCAGTGTCGCAAACCATTCAGATATTCGGTGACAATCACAGGACTTCGGTGTCGGCGGGGCTTCAGATACACCACAACACCGGAGTTGGCGCGACTCCAGTCCACCAAATCTGTCTCAATGAACTGTCGGATGCCTTTACTGTCGGCACTAGTCTTGCAGAACTTGAAGGTAATCCTCTGCAGTTGACACACGTGTCTTCGGCGTATGGGATCAGATGGGCATTAGGTGTTAGTCAATGCAAACAACAATTAGCCATACCTTCCGATGCCATTATAGTAGGCGTTTCTGATGTAATCGGCCGGAAGCGATGGATTGTTGACAATGAATCGGTTAAGACTGAACTTTGATAACTCCAATATCTTCACCATTGCCACGGATCTGTTGGATCTCTTGATTCACTGTTGATGTCTTTGAATCAATATTTATGACTGTATTATTGTTTGCATTTCTATATCACATGTGTTTATAAAGCATATAAATTACGTCCACTTTTTGGGTTTAATTTGTAATTAAATTTAATTGCAATTAAAATTAATTTCACAGTTTTATTGGCAAACAATAAAGTAATGAAATGTTTATATAATTGCAGTATATTTTTGGTCTAAAATACAATTTTTACCATAAGTTATAATTAATGTGAAAATGTGTGCAAAAAGTAGACGTCTTTTATATCGAGAAATAAATTGTTTGGCATTTAATGAATGTTTGAATTGTTTTGAATCAAAACTGATTATTGGACTCAATGTGAAGACATTACCGCCGAAGATGTCGACGGATAACGAGATATCAACTCATTATTCAGTACTTAATTGCGATGAAAAGGCGTCTAAAGAAGAGATCAGAAGACAGTACAAGAAGTTGGCTCTTATGGTAAGGCTTGCGATAATCATGTGTTTGCTGTTAAATGAATGTCCAATTTGTTGATCATTAGACACATCCCGACAAATGCGAGGCCAAGACTTCGTCCGAAGACTTTCATCGCATCGATAAAGCCGTCAAAGTATTGGACAACGACTTGAGTCGTCGTCAATACGACTCTCAACTCATCGGTAATGCATTTCAAAGACATTTGGTTTGGTTTTACTGTTAGTTTTAATATTAATTTGTTTTATTAGACAATAGAAGTGATGATTGTATTATCAATGAAGACATTATTATTAGTGATATGACATTAAATTGTGGTAAATATTAATGAATGGAAATACTGTATATAAAGTGATTAACTATTGTCTCAATGTCTGAATCAGATGTTTATGAATATTCGTGTCGTTGCGGCGGATCTTATTTGGTCTCAAATGAAGATATGGTCTCTTATAGGAAACAATTGACACATAATTATCTGATAATTGATTGCAATTCGTGTTCACTTTCTGTGAAATTAAAATTTTAATTTAAAATCTATTTTGAATATAAATTGTTTTTGTTTTACAAATAATGTTTAAAATGTTTATATTTTTGAAGTTTTAAAAAATTTATATTTCCATAAATAAACATGAATTAAATTTTATTTTCCAAACCATTACATGATGTGTGACAACACCTTTGATCACATCCTGTTTATATGCAATTGTAAGCATAGATAAGCAGTGACTAATCGATACTGTAATGATTGTGTGATATATAAATCTAACTAATTTATGAGTTAACGGTAAGCATAAAATTTGAGTTACAATTAAAATGATAAAAATGTGGAAAGAATACGAGTATAAAAGTAGTTGAGTATACAATCAAAATATTTCATTCATTGAAACACATGAATGAAATATTTCTAAGTTCTACTATAAGTTTGGATGAGATCTAAAAGCTGTATCATTAGGAGTCACTACTCTATCTGATGGATGCGGTGAATGAGTGCTCCAGATATGCCTCCAGATGTGCTCACAATCCCTTTCACATCGATTGG